AATATTGGGACTGTCGGTGAGTCAACAGCGGATCAGAGGAGCAGCCGCTGCGGGACAGTGACTCTTTAAAAATCATGATTTAAATTGAGTTGATTTAAAACAAGCCTTTTTACTGGTGATTTAAACCGTGATTTAAATCAACTTGATTTAAATCAAATCCACCCAGCTGATAAAATGAAAGTATTCTGCATTCCCCCCCCCTTTTTTGGGGGGGGGGGCTTGAGATCATTCCCATAGGTTTGACAGAGATTGTGGACTGATGTTGAAATTCTAGGTTGCATTAACAGAGGGATAGAATCAAGATGACGTGAAGTATAAGTACCACTACTATAAAGCCTTAGTAAGACCCCACTTGGAATAGTGCATCCAGTTTTGGTAGCCACAATATGAAAAAGATGTTGAGACTCTGGAAAGAGGACAGAGAAGAGTAACAAGGATGACTAGAGGACTGGAGGCTAAAACATGAAGAACAGTTGCAGGAACTGGGTATGTCTAATCTAATAAAAAAGAGGAGTAGGAATGACATGATAGCAGTTTTCCAATATTTGAGGGGCTGCCACAAAGAAGAGGGGATCAACCTTTTTTCCAAAACACCAGAAGGCAAGACAAGCAATGGATGGAAATTAATCAAGGAGAGAACCAAGCCTAGAAATAAGGAGAAACTTCCTGACAGTGGGAACAATTAACCAGTGCAAGAGGTTGCCTTCAGAGGTTGTGGGTGCTCCATCACTAGAGGTTTTTAAGAAGAGACTGAGACCTATTGGAGTGGTATCGAGTCTCCTACTTGAGCAAGGGATTGGATTAGACCTCCAAGATCCCTTCCAATTCCATTTTTCTGTTATATTTGTGTTTCATCTCTTGTTCTGACTGTCCTCAAATTACCGTATTTTTTGGAGTTTAAGACGCACCGGAGTATAAGACGCACCAAGATTTTGAAGAAGCAAATAATAAAAAAAAGGTTTTGCACTTTACAGACCTCATGAAAATGGGCCCGTTTTTTGTCAAAAAAAAGGGCATGCATAGCTTTTAGGAGGCTTGTAGAATGCTCCTGGGGACGGAGGCGGGGCAAAAACAAGCAAAAATGGGCCCTTTTCCACAAAAATGGGCCCATTTTCTTTCTCCCAAAAAGGGCATGAATAGCCTTTAGGCTTATAGAATGCTCCTATGGGCTGGGGGTGGGGCAAAATTAAGCAAAAAGACTGCCTGTTTTTCGCTCATTTCTGCCCTCCCCAGCCCCCAGGAGCACTCTGGAAGCTTTCTAAAGGCTATTCACAACCATTTTTGTTTGTGGGAGGGCGGTTGGGGAAGCAAAAAAAGCTGCATTCAGTGTATAAGATGCACCTAGATTTTCAGCCTCTTTTTTCAGGAAAAAAAGGTGCGTCTTATACTTCGAAAAATACAGTAAGCTTGGAATTCAGTTCCATGGTGATTCAGTGTTGCTTTGGTACAAGAAAACCTGCTGTGGTTAGAGTGTGTGCTTCTTAGGGTTTTCTGAAATAAGAAGCCCAAAAGATCCAGTGACCCTAATGCCATCCCAAGTGTTTAAACCTTCTCTGCACAATGGGCTTGCAGCAAAATGGACTAACTTCCTTTGGGAATATCCCACAGGCTGGAAACAAGACGGCATGATCCATGCAGCAGGAATAAAGACAGAGCCTGGCCAGCAGAAACAGGAAGATGGGGTGACAGTAGCCCCAGAGGATATCATGCCTTTTTTACAGTGCTACTGCTCCGGTCACTGTCCAGAAAACGCCATTAATAACACATGCAAGTAAGTATTGCAGACATAATGAAGACCTGGTGAGAGGAGAGGCTTCAACATCATTTCCCCTCCCTAGTTCTTAATTCCTTATACCTTGGTGATTAAATAATTGCTTTCTTATTTGGAAATATTTCAGAAATTTCAAGATGCAACATTTTAACGCCTTAGCATTAAAAGATGTGATTTTAAAACTTGCAGTTTTTTATTGCCCTCTAGTGGTTATATCTGTATCAACTCTGCCAGGATTTAACATGTGCAGACATGAAATTATTTCAAACACATTATAATTCTAGAGGCACAGAAAGTGGTTGTTCCTATGTGCACTGGTGGGATTCAAATAATTTAACAACCAGTTCTCTGCCCTAATGATTTCTTCCAACAACCAGTTCACCAAACTGCTCAGAAACTTAACAACCAGTTCTTCCGAAGTGGTGCGCACTGGCTGAATCCCACCACTGCCTATATAGGATTGAAATCCAAATTTCAGATTAGAAAAATGGAGCCATAAATGTATTTCTAGTTGTCGCCCTGTTCAGCATCTTCTATTTGCAGCTAGTTTCATTTCCCATCAGAGTAGCATACACTGCTAGTGTTAGAACAAGGGTGTCAAACTCAAGACCCGGGAGCCAGATCTGGCCTGCGGGGTACTTAGATCAAGACCATGAAGCCATCCTGGAAACAGCAAAGGACCGACCAGTGGTGCCTTTGCCAGTGAAAACGGGGTCCTGAGCTCCGTTTTTGGCTGCGAGGGCCTCCTGCAATCCTCTGCCAGGAAAGTGAAACTCTGTTTTTGCTGGCAGAGTGTTGCAGGAGGCTATCGCAGCCCGAAACGGAGCTTGGGACCCCATATTTGCTAGCAGAGCACTTGGGCCACCACAGGCGCCGATATGAGTTGTGTCGAGCTGGCCATGCCCAACCTGGCCAGCCCAGGTCAAACCCAACCCTGATGCGGCCCTCAAAGAAATCGAGTTTGACACCCCTGTGTTAGAGGGAGAAAAAAACAACACTGTTTGCTGAAGAGAC